TTCTCCGAACACTCTGCCAAAACTCTGTCTGAAATCAAAAGTGATGAGCTTTGTGTTAGTACTCTTACCATATCACTGCATATTCAGTGCCCATGCATGCTTTTGAGCTATGAGCGTAGTCGTTGCCAAATGAAGTGGTCTGATTGGTCACAGCTGTTGTGGTTCAAAATAATGAATTCTAGATTGGTCCAATGAAATGACACGGTCAGTGTGAACAGCTGCATTCAAAACAGTTTCATTTATATAGCACCAAATCACAACACAACCCTACAACAATACAGAGGAAACAGAGAAAACCTCAACAACTCTATGAGCAAGTGCTCTGGTGACAGTGGGAAGGAAAAACTCCCTTTTAAGAGGAAGAAACCTCCAGTGCAGTCACTGTTATACAGTATTATGGTCAACAGTATCAAGTGCTCTTCAAAGTAAAACACTTCCTGTACAATAAAATAAATAATTACCATTAACTGTTTGAACACATTTTCTACACATTCACTGCAGTAATGAGAAGGAGAGCATGTTTTAGTGTTTCCTGCATGTCCAAGAAGTAACACGTAAAGGATCAATAAATCACAACATCCTCCCAGCTGATTAACAGCTGTTCATCCGTGTCCAGCTGCTTCAGTGCGTTTACTCATCTCGAGTGGATGCAGTAACTGAGCAGGTCTGTGCAGCAAGCTTTAAACTGTGAACAATGCAGGAACAGCTGTGTCCGAGGAAATGCGTTTGTCTGGGCGAGTTATTCTCTCCAACCAGGACAACATCGCCCACGTTCATCACACTGGGTGTTTTTACTGGTAAAAACCACCGACCTTCTGGTTAGTGGCCGACCTGCTCTGCCACCTGAGCTACAGCTACCTCCAAGTGCTCACAACTCTGGAACTGTGCAAAGAGGACAGAGGCCTCAATATCGCCTCTACTTCTGTCAGTATACTAGTGAGCTCCTCAAAGTTCAGCGAAGCCCTCCCAGGACACTCCTTAGATTTGTTTTCACAGAGTTCTCAGGCTTTTCCCAGAAGCCACCCCACCGAGCTGCTCGCTCAACAATAAACTGAAGAACGTCTCTGATGGTCTGCTCTTTCAAATGTCATGAACAAGCCTACATAACCTTCGTCTTGCAATAAATCTCTTTACTTTACAGTTCTAAATAAACCACCCCAGTGATGGTGCATTGAACAGTGCAGTGTAATCACAGGCTGCCAGTTAACCACAGTGAATCTGTGATTCTTTGGCAGCATCCATGGGTGTTGCTATCTGAAACTAAAACCAGAATACCGTAGCCTCCCACACTAAGACTGTGGTTGTCCTCTAAGAATGGATTTTGAATCTCTCCTTCCTCAGGTGGCACATTTCTTGTCTGAAACTTGTCTGACTCGTTAGAGCTAATTTTGATTGCCGGTTCTTTTTTCCACTCCATAGTAACCACTGTGTTTTTAGCTCAGATGTTCAAACTGAGTGGACGTCTGTGAATAGACTGGCTTTTAGTAACGTATTCACTGTGAAAATGTCCGAAATGTAAAAAACAGACATGCACGTGGATCCGCTCAACATTTGATGACGTTCATGTTACTCAGACCTGCGCTGGCCCTAGAGGACTCGCAGAAGTGGAAATTATAGCATCAAGTCTTTATTCCACACACTCTGAGCACCTAAACTGCCTGACAACCGTTTTCAATTTAGAATCGCCAAATAAAATGAAGTTTCAAAATAAAAGTCTGTTAGGTACTGTCTCCATAAATCTCTTTATCGGTTTCTTTCTTCCACTGTAGCGTAACCTGACATTTTCCTGCTCCGAATCCAACACCTCCCCAGTTTTCTTCAACTCCACATCCTTCCTGCGGCTGCCGGGTCAGACTGACAGCGACACCCTGTCAGTCAGTCTGTCTTTCAGGACGTGGAATCCCAACGGCCTTCTGATGTTCACCGCCCTGGCGGATGGCTGGGTGGAGCTGGGCCTGACGGAGGGAAAAATCACCGTCTATATGAATGTGACACAGAAGAAGAACACACGCATAGACATTTCATCAAGTGAGCTCAGCTCGTTGGTTTTCGGTTGTTTAATTATTATCTCGAGGTCCTTTTTGGTCTCTTTGTCTTCACTTCGATCGCTGTTGTGTTTTCCTGTTAAACTTTCAATTTATTTATTTATATAGCGCCAAATCACAACAAAAGTCGCCTCAAGGCTTTTCTGCATGTGTTTTTCCTCATAGGTTCAGGTCTGAATGATGGACAGTGGCATAGTGTCCACCTGAATGCACTGGAAAACTATGCAATGCTGACAGTTGATGGAGATGAGGCCTCCACAGTTAGAACAGCTATCCCCATCCAGATCCAGACTGGAGGAACATATTACTTTGGAGGTGTGTTAAGTCAAATTGTTGAATGTTGTCATTGTGTTTCTTAAATTTGTAAAGTTTTAGTTCAAGCAGTAGCAAAGAGATCCCTGTGATCCTGAGCACCTCTGCAGCCTCTCTGTGCTGGGGGAGGTTTTATTGTAGACACATCCTCTCTGACAGATCTGCTTCTTGTGTTGTTGCTTCCTGCTTTTATGACCCTTTTGGTCAGGAGGAGGTCACACACGCACACACGCACACACACACACACACACACACACACACACACACACGACACACACACCACACACACACACACACACCACAACACACACACACACACGGACACACGCACACGCACACGCACGCACACACGACACACACGCACACACACACGCACACACACGCACACACACACAGCACACACACCACACACACACACACACACCACACACACGCACACACACACACACGACACACGCACACGACGCACACACCACACACACACGCACACACACACGCACACACACGCACACACACACGCACGCACACACACACACGACACACACACACACGCACACGCACGCACACACACACCACACGCCACACACACACCACACACACCACCACCACACACACACACGCACACACACACACACACACACACAGCACACACACACGCACACACACGCACGCACGCACACACACACGCACACACACACGCACACACACACACACACGCACACACGCACGCACGCACGCGCACACACACACGCACGCACACACACACACGCACGCACGCACACACACACACACACACACGCACACACACGCACGCACGCACACACACACGCACACACGCACGCACACACACACACACACACACGACCACACACACACACACCACCACACACACACACACACACACGCACACGCCGCACACACACACACACACGCACACACACACACAAGCACACACGCACACGCCACGCACACACACACGCACACGCACGCACACGCACACACACACACAAGCACACACGCACACGCGCGCACGCCACACACACACACACACACACACACACACACACACACACGCTGCCTGGAGTGTGTAACGAGTGCACACGCATGTGATTCCGACCTTGAGTTTGGAGATCATGCTGGCCTCGGCGTCGTCGCTGGCGCTGTTCTGGTGGACCAGACGTTTGGCCAGCATCTTGGCGTAAAACTTCTGGAAAACGTCTTTGTCCTCGATGTACTTGAACACAACCATCTAAGAGAGGAAACAGCGTGGAGTCTTTGGTTTCACTGCAAAACTAACAGACATCACCTTACAGAGAAGCTCGGGTCACAGCATCTCACCACTTGGTTCAGAGTGTCCTCCAGTTCAGCCTCCTCTGGGTTTTTGGAGCTGAAAAGGAAACAAAAACAATTACAGACGGGCAGATGCTATAATCTTGTTCAGCCTCTGAAGTAAAGCTAAACCATCCCTGTGTGGATGAAGTAAACACTGTCTGCTCCGCTGCATCACTCTCACACTCCTCAGCTGCTTGTAAGCAGCTTCGTCCACCTCGCCGCGCTTTGAAAAGCGTCTTTGTTTTTGTCCTGAGTTTAACAAAGCAGTCAGGATGCAGACGCCACTCAGAGTTACTGAACCCACAGAGAGCGCAGTCCTGCTGGGGAGAGCCCCACAGTGGAACAGCATCCACTGATCAGGAAACAACAGCTGCCCAAACAAACCCCTCGTGGTGCACTTCTGTTTGTCACAGAGCTTTTCATCATTCGTTCAATGTTTCACTTTTAGGACTGAAAGTGTTGACTCGGTTTGAAACAGGTCACAGAGGAAGAAGAAAGTAAGAGCTGGCGACGGCACGTTTGACTTTATTTAAAAGACAACGGCAGAAGCCTCAGAAGGAGGAGTCCAGGGAAACTACACGACATGCTGAGCTGTGCGGCTCACATGCATTGTGCACATCACCCACCTCTTCTTCAGTAAAGAGTCGCAGTATCTGGCCAGCAGCTCGGGAGACTTGCTGGACGACTGAGCCATCCTGGTGACGGCGTTGTTGTTGATGAACCGACCACACGCCTTCAAAAGGAGACAAATCCACGAGTCTAAAATTTCACCTGCCTGTAGGAATCCAGTGGATGACATCACACTGTCTGCTGCCATCTGTTATCTACAGTCTGTGGTTACTGACCTTGTCGAGTGCGGCCACGAAGCCGGCGTCGTTGTTGAAGGCAGACATGACCAAAGCGTTGTACTTCTTATGGACGTCCAGGGTGGTCTGCACGTACACTTTGGGGTCCTGGACACACACACACACAGGTCAGAGCCTGTGAGCCATTTTTAACATAAATGCTAACGTGTGATTGTCCTGTTAGTACATCTGCTATGGAGCTCAGGGATCCGCCCACTCTCTCCATCAATCTGCTTTAAAAACTCCAACAAACTCATTTGGTCTCCGTGTGTTTGACTAACAGGCCACTCGTTTATCATCTCACTGCTACCTGACAGACAAACGAAGCTTCAGAGCCTCCTCTCCTTCAGTCGACTCCTTACATTAAACTAGTGAGAAACACTGAGGTGAAAAAAAAAGTCCTGCGTACGTTGAGCGCTGCCTCGCCGCACTTCTCAATGGCGGCCAGGCCCTGGTTGTGGATGTGGGTCTCTAGAAGCTTCTTCAGCTCACCCAGACCGTCTGTGATCCGCGACACCAGGTTGTACATCCTGCCCAGGTCTGAAACACACAGAAAGCTGCATCTGTGAAACACCAGGTCGTCGTTACTGGAGACAAAAGCTTTGAGTTATCCAGGAAAAGATCGATGTTTGGAGTGTGTGTGGAATACAGCGCGCGCGCACACACACACACACACACACACACACACACACACACAC